TGGTAGATCTGTACATGAACAAACAATGGCTAAACTCCTCGTCCGCTTGTTCATTCGAAAGAAAAGCAAAACAGTTCATAAATCAATTGAAAAAAGCAAAGTACCCTTTCACATCATAGCAGAGCCAGAATCTAGAACAACCCTTAATGGGTCTATGAATGAACACTGAAACAAGGACTTTAAAAGAAACCCCACGAAGAAACTGCAAGAATGATCGGAAGAAGCAACTTAAATAGAGAGTAGTACAGACACTGTAACTGTAAGATGAAGAAAGAAGGAAGAAGAAGCAGAGGAAGGCAAATAAGCGTAAAAACTGCAAGGGTAAAATAGGTATTGACGTGGGAATTTGAATTATAAATAAATAAATAATATTAAACTTGGCTTGTTTCCACATTTCCAGCGTGGCGTAATCGAATTGGGTAAAAACAAAAATAAAATATTGAATTAGTAAATAAAATATTGATTTGGTAACGGCGTCGTCACAGAATTTCGGACACTGTAATCTCGTGTCTGCGGTCAACGAAAAAAGGTAGATTCGGAAATTATTATTATTTATTAGAATATATTTGGGTTAATAAATATAAATAAAATGGGATGAATAGAGGGAATTTTAGGGAGGCGATAGGGACATATTTGGCACGCAAATTCAGCGACCAATTAAATGTGGTTTGACAATAAATATCTTCCTAAATTAATTAATTTACCATATTTTCCAACAATTTACTTTTACTTTTTACTTTTTACCTTTTTACTTTCAACAATGAACAATGAAATCATCATGCTAACTCACTACATTTCCTTCCTTTTTCAACCTCAATCCCTAATGGGCATCTCAACAACCACGCTTATTATATTTGTAATATTTAATTATTTTGTCCTAATTTAACAACGTTCTTAAGTGATTACGATCATCTACATTATTATGATATTTTATATTATGAGCCTGAGTTCTTATGAATTTATTTTTTTATTTTCTTAACAAGCTTCGTACTCGTATATTCATAATTTTCTTCTTGATTAATTAATATGTCACTCCAACCAACCTTGACGTTTAAAATTTGATGATGTCAACATATGATAGGAAATTATGTGGTGTTTGATGCGGGTCAAACTATTGATTGAAAATGAGATTTTACGCAACCTATTGCCCACCTTTTTTAACGCATGTGAAGCAAAAGCTTTAGACTACACTTTTCTTGTAAAAATAAAAAAGGAACAAAAGAACAAAGAAAAAAAATTGACTGCACTCTCTTTCAAATACACCAAACCTTTTATTATTATTATTATTTTACCAATTCAATCAAATTCATTTTATAGTATATTATATACATTTTAAAATATAAGAATGTGACAAAAAAAAAAAACATATAAAGTTGTAATTTTCAATTTTATTTAAATATAATAAGAAATTTTCAAATATGTTGCATCAAAAAGAAAAAGATTAAATTAATTAATAGGTGTGTTGACTTATACGACGATAGGTGAGTTGAGTGATTTGAGTTGAGAAGAAGGCCCCCCGACAAGGTCCATACTTATTTTAGAAAGATTTGGACGGTTCCAAATTCTCAAGCTTGGATCACCACACACCTTCCCAGGAATCCTTGCTTGTTGAACGAGGTCCCCTCGTAACTAAGTATTCAAGTCCTAATGAGCATATTCAAATTATTCGAGTGTATATATATATATATATATATTAATTAGAGTAATCAATTTTAAAAATATTAAACTTTGGTAATGAGACAGGAGCTCATCATCGAGATTCTCAAATCATGAAGATCCAATAAAGCAGGAGCTCAACATTATATTTAGGATGGGCTCGGCCCAAAACTAAGGTTGTTGGGCCTATTGCATTGGTAACGCCAACCCATATTACATAAAAGGCCCAATTACAAAGCCCACTTCAAAAGATGGAAGAAAAGTAGAGGGACCGGCCCGTTAAAGGTACCCTGTCGCTACTTTCCTTCTACTATCAAAAATGGTCTCTCTTAATCACAACCTTACATCGCCACGTGTCATTATCCCAATCGCCCATTACCCTCTAAATTTTGACCCACAAAACTGTTTTAAAAAAAAAACAAATTTAATTTATAAATTGATTAAAAAAATGTTTAAAATTCAACCGTATTTGGTTATCTGAAAATTATTACATGGAAAGGATGTGGTGGGCCCAGTGTGCATTAAAAAAGTGGGCCCAAAAGTGGGCGGTAACCCGCATGCGGATCAGGTGGGAGCTGAAAGAAACCATTTCCGGGCAAGCCGCAGGCCCTGAATTAAACTTGACGTCTCCATTTCTCCTATTTATTTATTTCCTATTTCTCTTTCTTAATATTATTTACTACTTCCAATAAATATATATATTAATTGCAATAAGTATCCATAGTATCTTCAACCAAAACACGTTTAACCATAAAATTAAGTAAATAAAATAAAATTTAAGCATTTATTAGTAAACATATCTTCAATATTGATCTCATTTAGAGGTTGGTTCGATTCTTTCGTGTATCATTCCTTTATTTAGGTATCATCAACCGCGGCAAGAGTTATGTGAATGTAGTTGAATAGCCCATCTTGTTGCATTATTTACAGATTTTTATAATCAATAATTACAAAAACTGACTATACAGCTTTCAATATTTGTATGATATTCCCAGTCTCAATACAAAGGACCAATACTTTCATTACTTTATTTAATAAGATTCTCGTTTATCACTTTTATGTCTAATGTTTTTATTTTAATCCTTTTTTAATTTATTTTATGCTTTCAAAATTTATAGATGTGAAAAATTAATAATAAACTAATTTTTTGAAAATATATGGACTCGACATTTACAAAGACGAAAATGAAATGAAAGTACACAAACGAACACGACAAAAAATGATATTTTATTCTCCACTGAAGAACATATCGCTTCAATCCTTTCTCATAGATTAGATTTAAAGATATTAATTTAAACAAGTTTATATGCATATTCATTGCCTCATAGCTTGAGATTAGAATCTTAATATTTTAATAACTAAACCCATCAATGTACTAAGACGGGTTGTTCCATTTTATTTTATTTTATTTATTCCTAACGAACTTAAGGCCATTTGTTGTAAATTTTATATTCCAAATGTTTGATTCGTAGACCATACTTGGGGAACCAACACAACATTTCGAATCCCCATTGGATTTTGATACATTACCCTTAGAACACAATGATCTACCCCGTCTCGTTTCATTGAACCCACCCCTAAATCACGATAAATTATTTGTCCAGGGTTTACGACTGTCACAAACTTAACAATACATCTATGAAGGACAGATTTTCACACCCAAGTAATGTTTCGTTCCTCTTTTCAACCGATGTGGGTATGAGTCCAGCGTCCTAGGTGTAAAATATTAAAAGACACGTCATAGTAAAATATTTATTTATTTCATTAGATGTTAAGAGTAAAGAATGCATTAAATGAAAGTATGAGAGATATTTGTAGGAGTCTCTAGAATGCCTTTGTGACATCATGTCTTGAAACTTGCATGTCTTTTTCATTTTTTTAATTATAAAATAAAGTTTCAAGCTTAGTTGTCAAAATTATATAAAATTTGCTTAAATATGAAATGGGTTAATAATAATAATAAGAACAAAATACAAGCCCTCCTCATGAAGAAAGATACGGGTTATTTTATAATATATTTCAACAAACAAATGAAAAAAATAAAATAAAAATCATTTTTTAGGAACTTTAAATTAATTGAATATTTAAAATACAATAAAATGAAACATTTAAAAATGCATAGAATTAACTGAATCTTAAAAAATTGGGATAAAAAGATAATTTTTTAAAATTAAAAAGAAAAGTGGGCTGGAAATAGAGGTGGGTTTTGTCCGACATAATATTATTATTTATTATTTTTCTAAATAAATATCAATTTCATCGTTATTAGATGCCATCAATTTAATATATTTTCTTTTTCCCAAAATACCGTAAAGTTAATTTTTTTTTTGCCTTTTTGCTCTATTTAAAAATATATATTTAATTTTAAGATAATCATATATTTTCTATCAAAATTATTTCCAACACACATAATTATTGATATAGATAATAATTTTGAGTTAGAAAAAACAAAAAAAGCTCTGTCCTCTGTCCTCTCTCCCTACGTGTCTTTGTGAGTCTTAGTGTAACGGGTTCAGTCCAGATCACCAACTAAGTCCCCTAAATAACTGCTCGGTGATAAAGAAGGTAAGGGTGCAGAGACAGCCAGGAGGTTTACCTAGAAGCAGCTACCCTTGAGAGAGTGCGTGTGTACGTATGAATTTCATATAAATATAATATTTTTTCAATTTTTTTTCGAAAAAAGAGAGAAAAGTGAGAGATGCCGGGAGAGATGGAGATCGAGAGAGAGAAGGAAGAAGAAGGCAAGTGTTGTGTGTGGGTGTGGGTGAAGAGTCAATATTAGCGAAAGGATGGAATTGAAACACGACTATACATATTATCTATTATGTATATATAATCTTATCTCATCTCTGGTGGGTTTTATTGGAAAGGGAAAAACAAGAACAGCTTGGGATTTGTTTCCACTTATATTTATATATATATTACTCTGTGCATACAGAAATTTGGATTTGTAGCTTTTAAACTAATGTCAATGAGTGTGAAGGAATGGGTGAATGGAAGAATGGCAGAAATAAAAAGAGTAATAATGTTGTCATGCACGTGACTCCTATTTTACTGCCCACGCCTTTCTACCACCTTCGGTTCGGTTGTCACATGTTTTCGAGGTCGATACTAGTTTGTTAATTCTAGTTGAATTAATGAATAACGTACTTGTTACTATGCTAAAGCTTAATCTTGTCCAAATATTCATATCAACCAAAAAAAACTCTCGAGTTTATTTAGTTCTCTTAGCTCAATTGATGCTAGCATACTTACGAATGTTTAATATTAGGATTGATATCAATGATTAGCTTTCATACTAAGTGTTAGGATCGCTCAACCACGCACGCACTCAATCAAGATGAACACACTTCGAAAGTACGGCATGATGGGTATATATATGGTTTCAATTTACTAAATATAGCTTCCAAAGATTTAAACAGTAATCTTACAAATATATCTCTATCAAACAGATCTTTATCAAATATCTTTCAAATATATCTCCCATCAAGTTCAATATCACAACATTTAATTGATCAAACTTGTAAATATTGTCCTCTTTAGATTTTTTCTCATAAACAATGCTTCACTTCCCCTCTTAAACTAATGTGGGATCTTCTCGAGGTCCAACTTCCTCTTTGACCCTCTTTCCCTCTTTAGTCAATGTGGGATCTCACAATCTACTCCCATTTTTATGTCTTGTGTCTGACTTTGACACCATTTGTAATAGTCCAAACCTACCGTTAGCAAATATTGTCATGTTTGAATTTTTCCATAAAATTTTAAAACGCGCCGAAGAGAAGTTTCCACATCCTTGTAAAGAATGTTTTGTTCTCATTTTCAACCGATTTGAGATCTTACAATATAGTAATCCACGGAGAAAAATAAGGTATAAAAGCATGAATTTTTAAAATATGATATGAAGCGATTACTAGTAGTTATATTATAAGTTAAAAAATGTGATATCTCATTGTTATTATTTTGATATTGTTCACTGAAATTAATGATTGATGCATTCGATCACGCGAGTACCTCAATTCTCTCTCATATTTTTCATAACCCTATATTTCTCTGTATCTCTCACTGTCATGTCTTTTGAGACCTTTTTTTTTAAGAGAGAAAAGAAAAAAGAAAACATGTGTTATGAGAGCCACTCAAGTAATAAGACTCCAAAAAAAGGACCCCCACAAATAAAATCCACACTCCCTTCATCTCCCTATCTGCATACAAAAATGTCTATAAACCACTTCTCTCAAGACTTCCATCAGCCCCTCTTCTCATCTCCCCACCTCCCCATCATGCTTAGTAATAACCCCAAATCCTCCCTCTCTGACCACCTCAAGCAGCCCATGTTCGAGAAGCCCTTAACCCCGAGCGACGTTGGGAAACTCAACCGCCTCGTTATCCCCAAGCAGTACGCGGAGAGATACTTTCCCCTCTCACCCTCCTCCTCCTCCGCCGCCGCCGCCACTGCCCACTCGGCTGACAAGGCCTTGCTTCTCACCTTTGAAGATGAGTCTGGAAAGCTGTGGCGCTTCCGTTACTCTTATTGGAATAGTAGCCAGAGCTATGTGTTGACTAAGGGCTGGAGCCGCTTTGTCAAAGAGAAGCGCCTTGACGCTGGTGATTGCGTCGTTTTTGAACGCCACCGCTCTGATGGCGACAGGTTGTTCATTGGCTGGAAGCGCCGCTCGGCGCCCTCTCCGGCGGAGACTGCTGTGGCGCCAAGTGGCAGTGGCGGTGGGTGTTGGACTAGAATGTTCTACTCTGCAAACCCATATCCTTCTCATCATCATCTTCCTTCACCGCCATACCAATCTTCGGGTTCTACTCTTCCAGGTTTTTTTTTTTTTTAATTTTTTTTTCCAATTTTATTCATGTTTCTAAAAGAATTTTAAATAAGCCCAACATTATCTATTACTGAAATTTTCATCCCAATTTTTTTTTTCCATTTTGAAATTGAACTTAAAAATGAATATTACCTTTATCCAATTGTATTGGGATCATAAAGGCCATCTTTTTCTGACCAAAAATGGGACTAACAAACGGAGTAATTTTGAAAACTGAAATCGATTAGTATTATTTTTTAGCGAAGAATCAATAGTTTAATATAGTCAATAGAAAGCATGAAGAATGCTATAATGTTTTATTTATTTATTTATAATTTTTCGGGATTTCTCTTTCCAGCACCCATAAATCATGCCTTTAACCACTCATAAATTCGTACTTTCAAATATAAAATACAAAATACCCAGAAAATAATTTGATTTTTTTTTAATTTCTTAATTTGATAAAAGGTTTTTTTTTTAAATTAAAAAAAAGTTGATGTATGCGCATTGTTTTCAGAGTCGGTTCAGAGCCAAACAGTGTCGGTTGGGAATTCAAAGATACTGCGGCTGTTCGGGGTGGACTTAGAGTGCCAAACCGACATGTCGGAACCTGAACCACCGTCGACGGTCGGAGGCGTGTCAAGTATATCGGGTCGGGATCCGACCCGCCACATTTTCTACTCACATTATTCTTCTGCCGTTCCTCATCACATGGTATGCCAACTCAACTTCATATTATAATTATTTTCCTTTTTTTTTAAATTTTTTTTTTTATAACTTTAATATATAAAAAAATCGTTTTGCATCTCCGATTCCCTTTTGGATTGTTCCCTCTAATCAGACAGGTTAGAGTCAAAATGGCAAAAAAAAGGAAGAAAAAAATACGCTTAAAAAAACAAGTAAGAAAAGTAGTGGTTTAATTAAATTGAACGGTCACCTCTTTTGGGGACAAAATCTGTGCATGAATCTAGCATTTTAGCTCCAAATATTGCTCAGTTTAATGATGATTCAATGTCATATATGCTCACTCTTTTATATTAAATAATGCAAGGGGATGACCTAACTAAACCATTATATGAGTAGCATGATAAAAAGCATCGCTACACTTAGTTCTGTATGCTATGCACATTTTTCGAACTTAACACTAAACAAATAAAACTTAGAACACAATCTACAAAATCCACACGAAAACAATAAAAGAACAAAAATAGTTGTAAGGGGAAAAAGACAATGGGTCAATATTTACTCTATATTAGTGAACATAAAAGTTTGATTACCAGAGAGAATGATTTGTAGCAATTTGGGATCAATACAAAGTCATCCAGTGTTGTATTTTTTTGTGTCTATACTAAAGAAAGCACAAGCCAATCAATATGAAAATGCTAGAAACGTATGTATTTTTATGAGGAGATTGGGAAGACAGAAGAAAAGAAAAGGGAAAGAAAGAGAAAATGGTAGGTTTCCAGATGGTGAGGGGGACATCGTACATTGACAGCAAGGGGGAAATGATATCGGACCATAAACTCTGCACAAATAAACCAAACCTCTGAAACTTAAGGTCACTCTCTGCCTTCACCTTCAGACATCACTTCCACTAAAAATTCAAAACCTTCCGTTCTTAGAAGCCTACACTGTATGGACTTAAACCTATTCAGTTTTTACTGCTCTTTTTGTACAGCTATTTCTAAGTTTCTAATTTTTAAGTCTTCTTCTCTTTTTCGTCTTAACAACTACTTAGTTCGGCTAAAATTTTGCAAATCCTGTCTGAAGAATTTCCTTTTTGTTTATCTATAGTCTGTAACAGATCATTTTAAGGGAGCCTAAAATGTGGTTGTAACAGGATTTCACTTTCCCACAAGATGTCAAGCAGACGAAATATCAAGGATAGAGATGTGTGGATGTGACGTCCCTGTACTGCAAAACCCACTTTTTTATCTTTCACAATTAAAATCCCCCACCAGTTCGCTTGGGAAGGGTCGCCCCATCGAATAAAAAAGAAGGGGAGATAGAATAGAGTGAAAAAAAAAAGGGAAATCCCAGATTTTCTGGCCGAGTTCCCGAGGTCAGATGTGGGGGAAGGTGAATAGAGATCACAGATAAATATGTGTTGGGTGTGGAGAGAAAAAGAAGAAGTGGGGTCCAAGAAGAAAGCTAGCAAGGGCTGACGTCAAACATGCAAATCGGAAACTAGGGCCGTTGAAGGTCAGGAACGAGGAATTTACTTTACCACTGTTGAGATTCTGGCTCAAGATTTTTGAGAGAGGCTCAAAATATGACTAATGGAACACGGGGAGAGGGTATGGGAGAGGCTAATGCTTTATTTGAGTGGGTGGGATTGGATGGATCGGTGGCAGTCCCATCGTACTAGCCTACCTCTATCCCTACTACTATCTTTTATAAGTCTTAGCAAAATCTAACCTTTCTTTCACACCTCAATTATATAAGCATTTACCTCGCAATTGTCGTGTCCTTTCAACCTTTTTCTGTGAATCCATCTGTGATCTAATCTGCTCTGCTTATCGAGAGGATGTTCATTTCATGCCATGTCTGCCCCTGCATTCAATACGGAGATAAAAATTGATTGCAGTTTTGGATGAAAAGACATCTTAAAGAACATATTCATGTTTCCTCGCCCAAAGACTAACGTTGTGATGAGCATGCTTTTATTATGACTAAGAAAATAACAGAGAATTCAACTCGTGATGTTTTGACAAGTTCCGATTACAACATATCAAGAGAGTATGTTAACTTTATGTTTGGTTCTATAAGTATTTTAAACAATTTTAGGACTGCTTGATAATAAATTAAACTATGGTTTAAAAGTATTTCATTAGAAAAGCCTACAATCTCAAATGCTAAAGTGAGCGTACAAATCCTCTTTACATTTACTCCATGGCCATATTTCGAGAAAGTTTGCATCAAGGAAGAAACCTACCAGATTTCAGATCGAGGTAAGTAGCAGTGACATAAGGTAGAAACAGAAAAACTGTACTCCTCTTCCAACTCACTCTATTGTAATTGGTCTGCCAAAAACTGTGGAGTCCATTTCAGTCCTATCATCATACTCTCAAACAGACAGTGTGTTCTTTTTAGCACGTTAGGCACATAACTCCAAAGAAACCAACTAGCTCATTTGCAATCAACACAGCCCCAATCAGAAAAACTATCTACTGTATAGTATACTGACATATTTTGTTACATTTCGACTCTGTATTTGTAGTGTAGGCTATAGAACAAATGAAAACAGTCAACGGTGAGGTGTCTATGAGTTGGTTAGACAAAATGTATAATAGCCTCTTTTTTTTTTGTTAACATATTTACGTTTTGGGAAAAGCAAGTAATGAGATCATGCATTGATGATTAGCATGGAATTGTGTTGTGTCTACAGCATCTACAATGCGGTGCAAATGTTCAGTACAACTTGCAGAATTATAAAAAACATAACATTAACTAGAGGTTGAATTAGACATAATATCAGCATATTATTACCTGTGCGAATGATGAAAAGATAAGGAGATCTTGCTAGCGAGGCCCATAAATGTTCGGACAAAAGAGGTAGCCATTGACCTCTCTGGTTGATGATTTTCTAATCTCCATCAGTGGCTTTGATAGTGGGGGTCCCCAGATGTGTGCAAGCTATCATTTGCATTGAAGAAATGGCTTATCAAAGAATGAAAAGACTCTACTTTAGGGATATGTTGGGCAAGCATAACTCAATTATGCTGACTAAGTACAGTACGCATATAGTAACAGCTTGTGATAATTCGTTCACGGTCCATTCCACTTCATCTTTTCATCGATCAGATCATTTGCGACTCAAGAATACCCTTGAAGACAGTGACAAACAAAACCAAAAATCAGCATAGTCAATATTTGTACTCACCCAAAAGGTAATCGAAAAATTTACATTTCAAGGGCTGCATAAGTTGATGTGAATATGGGAGTTCGGCTCATGCGACCTTAATCAATTCTCTGACAAGAAATAACTCGAGGGAAAATATTATCATATTGTCACTCTCGTTTAGGAAAAAAAACTGTTAACCAAGTATCACAATAAGGCTTGCAAGAACCATGTGCTTGAAAACTGAAAAGATAAGAACAACGGCAAGCATGAAACTAGACAGCAGACACGATACTGAGCAACCGCACAATTGATTCCTTTTTAAAATGTAGTCCTAAAAAAAGCATAAAAAATATGAAGCAATTGGCAGTACCTCATTAGTTTTCAACAATTCAGGCTTCGTTGGGAAAGTCAAATTGTAGCTCGACATTGGGAGCTCATTTGTTAATAACAAGAACCCAATTATAAATGGGCCCTTCATGCCAGTCATTTTCAACCTTCCCTCCCACCATAATAAAATGTACTTGAGCATCTCCACAGCATCTTATGACCTAACTCTGCCACTACGTTTCTTTCTCAATTTGCAAAATCAGCGTTCAACTCTTTCTTGTCAAAACAAAGAGTTATGGTTGCACTGGAAACTCAATCCACCATGCAGATACCTCAAGACATAATTGAAAAGCCAGAGTGTTATTAACGTGAACGCAGGGGCCAGCTGCAATGTGCAATTCATGCCTGAAGTGTTAGGAAAAATTATCCAACTTTGAGATAAATGGTAAATCAAACCTTATGGGAGCAGAAGTTATGTCCCTGTGGTCTTTTGCGAATTTCACACATTTTCTCAAATGTGCCAGGAGTAAGTTTGGACCAACAATCCAACCTCCAAAAGGACGAAGGATAAAAGGCCTTGAGAGTCCCAAAGGAAGACCACATAGGTAGAAACAAGAAAAGAACTGCTGAATTATTCATTTAGCAGCCAAAAACAGCTTCCTTCACACTAATATCTCCATGCCTTGTAAGCAATTTAAGTCACTAAGAACTCCAAAATAACTGACAATAGTAGGGGAAATAATAATAATAATAAAATTAAAAAAAAATCATGCAACTAGTTCTTTAGGGAACATAAAGGTTGAATTTGCTACCCTTTCTTATGACCGCGTGTGTTCGTGTGAATAAATAGGTGGTGCTTAAAACAGTATGAATTTCAAATTGCACCGCGCAAACGACACAAAAAATCTAAACCAATTTTTAGAACTAGAAATTGAGCTGCCCAATCCTCTAAACTAGTGTAGTCACAATTCTGTAGCTTTTACATAAAACATCAATACGATCAGAAATTTTTATTTCATTTTTTCGCTTCCCTTCTCGGAATCAGAAATTTTCTTTTTCTCCATGACTTGCTGAATACCTTCTTGATAGCCATCTATAAAATTTTTCAGAGCGTCTCTATATGCAGAAGCTTTAGTCATATACACCCGCTGCAAAGCTGGTTTTAATGTTTCCATTCCTCCTCTTGCAGCCATGGCTGGTTTTTTTATTTTTCCAACAAAAGAAAAATGGCAATCTAATCAGGAACAATCCAATCCAATAAATAGGAAAAATCGTAAAAACAGGTTGAAAGGAAAAGAAAACGTAAAGAAAATCTAATTGCAACAGAAGATGCACCTAAATCAATGTACTGCTAAAGAAAAGACAACAGCATAAGAAAACTTGAAATTCATGATTAACTTAAATAAAGAAAACGATGGTTTATAGGGGTGTTTGTCATGATGAGACCAATTTTTAAGTACAGAGTTCTTTAGTACATTGGGGAACACACACAATATAGTATAAGACACACACTGTTAGGGTCTAAACCACCCTACATGATCTCGGGGATAACCATTGCCATTGGTGTGCAGTTTTAACTGTCAACCTCCATTACTGGTCCACTGCTACTGAAACTAATTTTTCCCATTTTACGCTCAAGTTATACAACTAAACCATATTCTCACACTGAACCCAACATTTTCTAAAATGGCTATTATACATAAATTGTGCTGAGAATTGTTCTGAGAAACTCTCCTTCAACCAAATTCTCATTTCTTTAGTCAGCTTTGAAATGTAGATATTCTGTGAGAGAGATAGGGTTTTACTAAATTAAGTGGCTCTGGGGAGAATTGACACTACTGACTTTGACACAGACACTCTACCTAATGGTCTATTTCTTTTCCCTTTCCCCTCAATGGTGAACTGTTGAGGATTGGAATCATACATTTTGCCAATATTTGTTTTTTTTACAAGAATATAAAATAGATTCTAGTAAACTTTAAGTTTAGCCTTGCTCCTAATCAAGATTATAGAGATTGTTGTAGGTTATTCTGAGTCCTCCTTTTGTGGGAAAGGGAATATTTGTTTGGCATGTGAAGTATTTTGCACGAGAAGAATAAGAGGATCTTTGAGGACAGAGGCATTCTGTGGGAGGAGTGTTGCATACTCCTACACATCACTGTGAACTTCAAGTCTCTTCTTTTCTGAGATACACCGGCAGTTTAATTTCTGATAAACAGTGTAGAGAAAAGTAATGTATGTCCCACGGCCAGTCCAAGGTGGTAATGTCTGCGATGAGCAATATTGCTTGAAATATTATTCGTTGTTCTTTTTTCCATTTATTCAACTCTAGCTCTTTTGTTCCCTTGTTTGTCTGACCTCTCTTTTGTGCTTTAAATAACTTTTTGATATAATAAATGATTGACACCGACAAGTAGGAATGTGAACTGCAATCTAGAACTCCTAGTTGATAAAATAAATGTAGAAACCATAACAGAGCATTCTATATCTTTGTGCCCCTTTAGTTAGTGGATTATGGTAGGATTTCTAAATTACCAAAGGCGATAATGTCTTATAACTACAGTAAAATTAAATAAGAGAGTGAAAGTGAGTTTCAGAATTCAGAAGTATTGCATAAGAGTAAGGGAGATATAATTTGAGACACAAGCACAACTTATAATCCCACAGGCTTAATATGAAGGGCAGAATCTAATCAAATGAATACCATTACCACACAGCATCATTGTTTGATGTTATTTGGCTGCTATTTCTATCCTGAGGATTGATTGTTAGATATCTCATCAACATCAACAACCATGAGATGAGAGTTAAATCTAATTAAATACAGAGATAAATTTATAAGTATCATAATCTAGTTGTAAGAAATCCTCTCTGCGAACACAGTCCCATATCAAATTTAAACAGGGGAAGCAAAGAATAACCAGAAAACAAGGACTAAAATATTGAGTATACTTATGACCATTCTATTCACATCTTCAGCTCTTTCCATTGATAGCAAGGCATGCTTGACAAGATTACAAAACCATGAAGCTTCACCTATCACTATTTCTTTCACAAGCATTAAATATTAAGGAATATTTCAATATTCAGCGATTGAACTTGAAGCAATTTTATCTCATGCATCAACAGGCTTGGTTGACCAGGAACTAGAATGTGCACTGAAAATCATGTTCCAAGTAAAAATCAATTGGCACCCCAATCTAGAAGTTGGTAGACAAGAATTTCCCCCATCATGAATACGTGATCACAAGTATAAGAAAATATTTCATTTCAGTATAAAGCATCTGAATCAAACTATAACACAAAGGTTGGTTACCCAGATCTTCCAGTGTTGAAGGTTCTTTCTCCTTAGGTGCACTTTTTGCTGAATTCTTTTTGTTTTCGCTTTCTTCCACCTTATAGTCATTTGGTCGCAGTTCAGGACCAATGTCCCGCACCCAGCTTGCAGCATATAACCTGGAAGCCTCCTTCAACACCTAAAATCAACATACGAGCATACTTAGAATAAGAGCTTAGTAAAATCGAATTTCAATGACCAGTTAAATAATAATCATAGATTCGATTAGAAATCGAGTGAACAGTACTTCAGTCAATCCCGTAGCACTAGCAAGTATCTTTTCCTCTCAATCACAGATTAGGACTTATCAATCCGTACCTAAATACTTGCAAGAGAGAGTAGAACAACTGCAAAGCCAACAAGAGAAAACGAGTACGTCAACGAATAATAGTTTACCAAGAATCGTTCACGCCATGTAAGCTTTCGACGCTTCTTTGAATGCGGAGGATCTGGCAGCGACGAAGGAAATGCAATTTCCTTCAAATCATACCGAACGTAGTCATAAATCTTCCTTAAAACGATCCTCGCCTTCATTCCTGCTACAGATTAGCTGACTTATACTTCACCATTCCATGCATTTGCTGCTCCAAGCTTGTGTTCCAACAAGAAATTGGCTCGAAACTTCATTCAGAGAAAAAGAGGGAAATGGAAATTCCGGAGCGCGAGGAAACGATCCTCAGTTAACCTGATCGAACGGCTCACTCTAATCCTAAGACAGATGGCCCGGGCCCTAAAAATTGGACCTAAAACACTGGTTAGGTTTAGTTTGGGCCGGACGGTTAACCATCAACAGCGAAGCCCATAATCCAATTTTGTGTGATATTTGATCCGAATTTGAAGAGAATATTAATTCTTTTATTTTTTTTTAAAGCATCAATAAAATGTTATTTATAATTATTTAAATTTTAGAAGTTTTTATTATTTTACTCGATAAATTTTATTATATTGTAAAGTTTAACTTAATATATTTAATTTTTTTTAATTAATATTTAATCCTTTTAAAAAAATTATGAACTAAAAACTATAATATTTTAAATTATAAAAATATTAGAAATTTCACTTCTTAAATATATAATACGTGTGTGTAAATACGTACATATTTAGGTTATTCGTTGTTTAACCAAATAAGTTCTAGTGGTTTTGCTTTGGGCTTTCCAAAAGACCTCATACCTATGGAGATAGTATTCCTCACTTGTAAACGCGTGATTTTTCATTAAATTAATCGAAACTCACTCTCAATAATCCTCGTCAGACCTACCTTCACAAATCTCGGTCACCAATTTGGCCTTCTTCCAGCCTTATCTCTCTCTCCCAACATTAGCACAAGAATTGGTAGATCGTGATTTAATCCTTAAGTAATTTTAAAAGGCCCTTAATGGATTATAACTTTTACTTTTACCATTTGTATTCACCGCAAGAAATGAGGTTAAAAAAAGAAACTTGAGTAGAGACCAAACATTATAATTATTAACCAGAAAAAGACCAGTTCTTACCGACCTCTTCCACTTTATTTAAGCTTTGCAGACATTATGAGATGAAAGCAAGCATTTAAGCATACATAATATAACATGGAGTTGACTAAAGGATATTAAAAGTCAACACAAGATCCCCTCTGCGAACCCATTGGAATGAAGCAATAGCAGGGTTCATCACACGGAAGTAGTCCACCTCCACAGAAATTTCCAAAACATGACGGCCGCGGCGATGGTGCAGGTTCCGGTGCAGCTTCAGCTGCACCCTCAGCCATTTTTATCAGCTCATCGTACTCATCGGACGCAGCTCGGTCGTTGCTACCGTCGGCGATGAGCTGGTTTCGAGCTAAAGAGCTCGTAAATGCCATCGTCACTAACAGCACCACCAATGCCACCTTCTTTCCCTCCATATTCGCTCTCTCAATATCTCTTTAACTCTTCAACTTCTTTGCTCCTACTTCCATGGATAGCTTCTCTATTTATTGAAGATTCCTTACATTGTTTTAAATATTTTATGAGGAGCACGTTTTTTTTTTCCTTTCTTTCTTTCTCTATTTATTTAATTTTGTTAAAATAAAAACGGTGAAATCTCACGTCAATTAGAGTGTAGAACAAGTAGAACAAGTGACAGTAAACATGCTAGCTTCGAAGAGGTGGATTGTGAGATCTCACGTTGCTTGAAGAAATGAACGAAACATTTTTTAAAGGGTGTGGAAGTCTATGTTCAGGATTGTTGGGAATGAGTCCAACGTTATCTAATTTAGGGAATGATCATGGGTTTATAAGTGAAAGGAATAGATCTCGATTGGTATAAGGCATTCTGAAAGAAGCCCAAAGCAAAGTCATAAGAGCATATGCTCAAAGTTGACAATATCGTATCATTGTGGAGATTTATGATTCCTAATAGTCTCTCTATCAGACTCAAAGAGACAATATTAGCAAACAGACTCAAAGAGACAGCATTAGCAATGGGATGGTTACAAAAACAAACCTTATCCACACATTGGACAATTAAAAAAGAAGAGATGAGGAAAGTGTAGCATACAAAACGATGGCACCAAGATGCCAAAATCATTTTATTTTTTGCTTCTATTATTAATAATTAATGGAACAAATAATTGTACTTTGGGACCACATTTTCATTTCTTAATTTAATTACCTTATTATTCACATGGGAAGATATTATATATATATATATATTCGTCTAGGATTATGCGTAGGATTTCTCTTATTTATCATCTCGATTTTTCCTTCTCATTTAAATTTATCTTCGACTTTTTTTGCGATATGACTGTATTACCTACTTATCATTTCTAAAGTAAAAACTATAATCACAAATTAATACACGTTCTTTCACTGTATGTTATCCTCATTATATGGTTCGAATGTGACGTGTTTCTAAAGAAAAGAAATCACTCATTTTCAAAATTATTCGGCGAATTATATTTATTAACTCCTAATCTTTTTTGGGATTTTTAAAAAAAATTTAATTAGGTCGTTTTGTTGAAAATTGTTTAGAAACACGTTGATTGAATATCATATTATTATTATATCAGCATATACATAGTAATACATATTTTACACGTTATTTGGCATATGATATTTAAATTATTCATATTGCTAGTCAACAAAATTCACTTTCAAAAAGTCGAGATAATTTGTCAACATTTCCCAAGGGACATAAAATTTAAAGAAAAATAATTAAATGGCACTAATTGAATTAATTAACTATTAATAATTCATATCACAAGGATGACATGTTATAATATAATAATTATATTTTAAATGGAGTAATTTCAAAGTTAAAAGAATGAAATTCAAATAAAATTATATTAAAAAAATTTAAGATCGGTTCATGGTATCTAGGAATACGAAATAAAAGCTCACAAACTAATACTAAATTATCGAAAATTGAGAACACAATAAATTGAGCCCAAGACGATAAAAAACAAAACAAAAAAATGGACTGGACCACGAAGTTGCTAGAATGTGATATTGACACACACATACATACAAATTACTAAAGTAGCACGTGTTTATTTGATTTTATAATAATAATAAATTATTTATATATAATTTAAACTTTTTAATGGATTATTAAACTAATTTTGTGTAATAAAATTTTAATATATTTAACTATTTTTAAAATTCGTAGAGCAATTACATAGAAATTTGAATATATGTGTGACGGTGTGTTCTAAATTAAATTAAAAGCTCAGAAAGCATTGGATAAAAAAAATTATAATTTAACGCAATAAAAAAAAAGGATAGGCAACTGAGAAATAGCCAATCAAAAGTGGCCACGTACTTATAGAGGACAAATGGATAAGAAATGAGAGGCGGACAATCAGAGCGCGAGATTCCTTTTTATTTGAGAGGAGGAAAAGAAAACGTGAGTGTTGCGATCTTCATGATACTGTCCTATAAGCTCTAGTGGTTTTACTTTTGTCTTCCCAAAAAGTCTCGTGTTAATAGAGATAGTATTTCTTACTTAAAGATTGATGTTTTTTTTATTGTTTTTTAAAATTTTATATTATTTATTCCATTTATTTTTCTCAAACTTCCTTCCATTTTTATTTTTCGTTTATTATTATTTTTAATTATTGTTTATTCTTTTTATAACTCATAAACTAAAAAAAAAAAAAAAAAAAAAAAAAAAAAAAAAAAAAAAAAAAAAAAAAAAAAAAA